TCTGGGTCACAACATACACGGATTGTATTATTCAATTCTTTGGACAGGTTGCACTTCGGAAACTTAGACGATGAACAAATATAAAGACTACTGTGTGAATTTACTTTGAATCGTCCTGTGCAACCTGCAATTCTTGATGCATATTCTATTGCAGTCCCACGTAAGTTATGAGTAATTGTCATTAACGGCATCAGCACGTAAGCTAGACAGGCCTTGGTTGATTTCCGAAGATCATCACATAGAATCTCACACAATCTGGTCACCTTAGATCAAGATATCTTGACTATCGAATCGTAATTTTCAGTGCTTTCTCGTGACAGCTTTATATCAGTACTTATTTCTGATATTAGGTATTTTTGCAATAATACCGGCAGCCAAGATATTGAAGCTCCCCAGACAACCCAAAAAGGGGAAAACGCATCACAATGTCGCTTTTTTCGCCTGTCCGGGGGAAATAATGTGGATTTCCCCTTTCTTCGCCGTTTTGTCGATAAATTACTCACTTTTCGCATAAATATCTGCCAAATTACCGAATTTTCGCCTGACTGTCCGCATAATTGTCTACTTTTCGCCTAAATGTTCGCTGAATTGTTTACTTTTCGCCTAAATGCACACAGAACTCCCTGTTTTCCATCCATTGACATAAACCCAAAGGTCTCTTATGTTCGCCTTTATTTTTAACAACAGACCAAAATAAATCTGCAATACAGTGGAAAACCGGCATATTTTTGAAAATTTTTATTTAAAAGGTAAAGCGTATTATTGTACAACACTAGAGCAGAAGCTTAAGCATCGATTGTTTTGCATATCCAATGCAATTGCTAATTCATTGTTATGTGAAACTATCTGCAAAAGAAGAAACACGTGATGTATTATTTATAAGGAATGTGCATTTATTCAATTGTTCACTGACACTCGAACACACATTCTCAACACTTCTACAGCTTCCCATGTAAGTAAAAAAGCAAGCTGTTTGAAAAATAATATTTATTGAAATGTAAGTATAACATCAAAACAATTGCACGGCTATTGAGAATTAAGGTAGTCGTCCCGTGAATTCTGGATTTAAAAAAAGAAAAAAGTTACAACCATATCTCAATGACATGCTTTGATACAGCCAAATACATGTGTACATCTACACAAGAGGTAGTAATGCTATCTTAGCTTGGTCTTTGGTAAAACCTCCACATAATTATACCTCTACCGCACGATTATGATTTATTTCCTGCAATACAATCATCTGGTGGCTAATATATCTAACTGTAGGAGGCAATATTAACATCTTGGTATATGTTATTATCATCTATAGCATATACATAATATTTACAACACTCAGGACAACTTATGTTTTCACTATAAACCTATTTCTGCCATAAAAGTCGAACAAAACAGTGAAAATCAGCAGAAATTGTGATAAAGATGGGAAAAACGATAAATCTTTACATGGTATCGTTATTTGTAACGCAGTTTTTGTAGCCTTGACGACAATACAATTTTTATGACGATATATGCCTGAATCTTGCTATTTCATATAAAATTAAAAGATTTGCCTACCATCAGTGCATACCTAACTAGAAACAATTGCTAATCTGCGATGCAAACACCGAAAAACTATTATAGCAGCACCTGAATAATGAATTTTCAAGGACTTCGCGATACCATGTAACGCAAAATGGAAAAACCCCTTTTTACCTAATTATGAAAACGGAAAATAAATTTTCAAATTTGTTCATAATGTATTTCAAAATTTGGTTGTGCACAAAGCAGAAATGAAGAAGTAGCGCAAAAAAGTGTCGCGATACCCCTGGAGCGCTGCCACCGCTACAAACCCAAGGAATTGAAAATGCCACGGGTTTTTGGATTTCGACAACGGTTTAACGAGTGGCATTCTACTATGAATCGTAACCACCAAGTGAAATCAAAATACAGAAGCGAAGGGGTCCTAAAATATATTTGATAGGCTATCAATGTATCGAGGATAGACTGGCCTAGGCTATCTAATGATTGAAGGGGATGTTGAGCACGACGTTCTCACTCGTAATCTGATGAGGATGCATGACCGAGCGCCTTCAGCTAGGTGGTTCCATTAAATCTAATGTGGTCAGCATCCAATGTTGAAGACTTACAGAGCTATTTATTTTGGGGATCTATTTACCGCTACAGAATCATGAACGTGGCCTTCAGATCACACCTTACTCTTCTGTAACCTAAGGAGAATAATTCCTGGTGATGGAGTAAGTGCCCACAACATTTGCTCTTTAATATCATATCCTGCTGCGTTGCACATCATTCTGTAGTGTCAGTTATTATGGCAAGCCCATCTACCTTATTCTAACTTGTGGACATCCTATTTAATTCATTTTACTTGAGTCATATGTTGACCTTGTCAATCATTCGCTTGTCAGTCTTGATTGTTTTTATATGAGCGCATATGTATGTACCCTTCTTATCCCATTAATCACATGTCTGTAGTTTATTTTGTCTGACTATAAATATTGAGTAACTCTTGACTAAAATGGAGTTGGCTTCCCAGCCATCTTCCCTGTGCGTCATTTTGCTTGGCTCTGTTTCATTCACTTTATGTACGAAATATATGTATTGTCAAGTCAATTCTCGTTAATTGACTTATTTAATTCCGTTATTGGATAACGTGATTTAAGTCGACGATTATATACGAGAATAGGCGATATCAAACATATCTTACACTCTGAATGGAGTCAGATCACGGGCCTATACATTGGTAAGCCCGCCGACGACGAACGCAACGCAGCAAGCTACGTCGATGAAGGAACTTCTGCACTCTATACGTTCGGCGAACAAATTCAGCGAAGCCAGGGCAATCTCCAATCCGACGCAATCAGCACAGCCTGTGCAACATGACATGGACATGCTCAAGTCGTATTATCTTATTGTTACTTTGTCCTCATGTCAATTATCCTCATTGATACATTTGTCGGATTGTTCCATTACGATACAAATCATCATTATATACTTATTATTACATTATTGTCAATATCATGACCGAATGTGGATTTATTAATCATGTTCATGCTGTCATTAAATTATGACATTTTCGCAATCATATTGCTCACCGAACAGATTATCATTTTATGAACACTCCACTTTATGACATTCAAAACTCACTGGAATATTTTTACTATTCGAAAACGTAAAATTTTCCTGCTTAAGTGAGTTCGTTCCAATTTTTTCATGTCATTTGATCTAATATTACATTCATTCACTTAGTCGAGGTCATTATTTTATGTTATCATAACACACATTCTTCATCGCCTCCTATTATGTCTGTGGATGCATTTAACTAGCTGATTAGAAACCATTACGTTCATCTTATCTATTCTTTCACATGCATAACTGCACGCCGCATCATTTACCAACCAAAAACGTTATTCAAGTACTGCAACTACTATTCTATACCCATCGCACGGTATATCAGAACATAGAGTTTAGAACTAGTCTCTCAAAGATACACTCTTGTTCGTTACATCCAAGTCAGTCTCATATGTCGCCATCGCTAATCATATGTATTGGTATTTTTGTCATGCCTTGGTACGGTTTTGTAATAAACGAGATCGAGCGCATCTCCCTCAAACCACACAAACCACTCTAGGCTTCATGACCAAAAAGGAATACGACTCTACGTACTTCGTCTACTCAGTCACTATTCTGTTCCTCTGGTCATTCTACCATCACATATTTAACGATAACTCAATGCATGTCATAACGCAGACGACAACGTTCACTGACTTCACATTTTATGATTATCATCAATTGCAGTACAGCAACGAATATCACCCGTCAATGCAGTTATCATTTCACGACTTACCTATTGTCATTCTACGAATGGGGAACTACTCATTTAAATTCAAATTCACTCATCACTAGTCCATGCTACCTATTCTACTGCGGCTCAACAGAACAAATATTTAACATATTTCACTATTCTATCGGCATCACAGACCAATTTCTGTCGTATTATATTTTACTTATTTTTACGATTTATTTTGCTGTCATACCCACAAACAATTTATTATTATTTTTACGATATTTTGAATCACTCACACAAACTTATTTTATTGTTCAGGCAGTCATAGCATTAGTACATGTTAATTTTTTGTACGCTCATTAATTTGCTCATATTCGCATGCTAACGTTTCCATTTTTGTCCGCGCCTTTTCTATATTCATGTATTATTTTACACAAGTATGACATTTTCATGTAATACACTCACCCCTCATGTGACACTACTGTACTTTATCGAGTGTTGTACAATTTTATTTTGGTTACTTATTGTTAACGTTAACTTCATACACTTCAGTGTTATTTTCGAAAACAGACATTTTTTAAATGTACTATTTTCTACAAGGGGGCTATGTAGCGTCAGTTATTATGGCAAGCCCATCTACCTTATTCTAACTTGTGGACATCCTATTTAATTCATTTTACTTGAGTCATATGTTGACCTTGTCAATCATTCGCTTATCAGTCCTGACTGTTTTTATATGAGCGCATATGTATGTACCCTTCTTATCCCATTAATCACATGTCTGTAGTTTATTTTGTCTGACTATAAATATTGAGTAACTCTTGACTAAAATGGAGTTGGCTTCCCAGCCATCTTCCCTGTGCGTCATTTTGCTTGGCTCTGTTTCATTCACTTTATGTACGAAATATATGTATTGTCAAGTCAATTCTCGTTATTCGACTTATTTAATTCCGTTATTGGATAACGCGATCTAAGTCGACGATGATATACGAGAATAGGCGATAGCGAACATTCATACACTCTGGAGTCAGATCACGGGCCTATACAATTCCACGTGTCCCAAAAAATTCACGCATGATATCAGGGAAAGAAGAGAAGGGAAGTTGTGGAATTTTAAAATGTTTGTCAGTGGAACCTCACTTCAACACCAAGAAACGAGGGCATGGAAAATGTTCGGTTAACACTTGCTCGTCAAAAACACTTGAGTATTGATAACATTGGACAAAAGGCGCTCAAACAACTAAGCCAATCAAAGCGCAGTTCACCTTTCAACTTTGTTATTTAACTACCATCAGCTTGCAATTTGTCTCCTCAGCTTGCAGTTGGTGTATACTGTGCGATGCCTGGTAGGTCTGGTTTGGAAGTTTAGCTCTTTAACATGAAAAATGTGGTGTTTCTACGTGTAAATGTATAAGATTCCAGGCAAGGCAGATATAATACCCCTCTAAATGTTCCAAAAATTGCTCCATTTGAAATACTCAGAACTAGTTAGCTTGTAGTATTGTGCACAATTTTGCTTAGTTTCAGTTTCGTACATAGAAAAAGTTTTATAATTGCGTTTCATGGCACACTATATATATATATATATATATATATATATATATATATATATTGAAGTCTAAAGGCTAAAGTAATGAAGTATAGGTGAGAAGTGGGTAATTCGGCGATCACTAAGATGTCACTTCACAGGTCTTACGACTGACGAGCTGCATCTTGTCATGTCTCATTATTTCCCCCAGCATACGTCTGTAAGCAAAAAAGATAACTTTCATTTGTTTTGTCGCCTGAACTAACCAGATCTTAGCCATTGTCGCTTGTATATTCCTCGAATTGCTTCTATTTCCCCATTCTTATTTAATTGGGATATATTGTTCTACATTTCTGTCTGTCACTCGTCCGTATATCTATACCTACTTCCCGTATATACCGTTTACCGAGGAACAGATATATGGAGTAATGCTCCTTAGATCGGTTAAGTAGTAGGAAAGCGGAAAGTTGCTTCCAAAACATGCTAATTCTTGCATTTTGTGATACCATTGACTTTACAATTTGTTTTGCTTAGTACCATTCTCTAAGAACTTTATTTGTTAACGTGTATTTCAGAATGATTTGTAATCTACCATTTTCACAAATCAACCTTGGCAGTATAGTTATATATCTCGACTCATGTTTATTTCGTAGTTCATTTTTTGTTGCTAGGATCCCTAATGCTTTCTGTTGTTCCTTTGAAGCATAAATAATATGATCCACCCATTTTCATCTCATTCCTTAAATTCACATTCATGCGTCAGATTTTTGCCTTCCCATGTCTCAATTAAGAAATCCCGTCAACAATGTTTCTGAGCTCTATAGGTTTTGTGCCGACTGACAAATTGTCGTCTTTGACTGCTGCTCAGTTCTTTCTAACTATGAGGTTTGTCAAACAAAAATGATCTATAAAATCCTGTTGCTTTGTTTCGAAAATACCATCCCCTTTGAATTGATTGCTGATAATAAGACGAATGGCTTTCTCTTGTAATTTATTGACTATGATGGTAAGATTTACTGGACGACAATTTCTCGAGTCTTATCCAGTTTTACAAACAAAACTATTGGTGTCATTCTTTGAGCCTGAGTCACACTTTCACGAAGTTGAAGCAGCTAATTAAGCACCCCAACATATTAACTTGGGTCATAAAGTGTCAGTTGCTTTGGTAGGTGATAGGGAAGTCACTCAAGCCATAGGAAGTTACTGAAGTTTTTCTTCTAAGTTGCAAATCATATCGTTGTTATTTGTGGAGCTTAGCCGATCAATTAAAAACTCTAATGTCAGCATAGTGACACAATAGCCCAGACTAAGAATTAAGCTCATAAATCTTATTAGATGTTCGTCAAGTTTATGCCCAGTTTCCTTGGTGAATAATAAACTAGAATAATTGCCTCTTAACGAATAGTCACATCGCTAGGTATCGTGATTATTATATAAACCATAATTTACAAATTGTAGATGCTCCTAGTTTTTTACTGTTCTGTTTGTCTCTACTTTCAAAGATAAACGGTCAACCTATCCAAATTCCTATGAAAAATATTCCCCATTAGATCGTTCAAGATCGTTTATTAGTGTGCATTTGAATCAGCAGTCAATAATATCCGATCCTAAAGTGAGTTGTTAATCACTCAAATAAACATTTTATCTGTCGTTTTCTAGAAGTGTAGTGTTTAATGGACTCAAATATTCTATACTAAATAGTTATTCAGTGATGAATGTAAATAATACAGTACCGCTTTGAATTACTACATCTGATAACAACACATTACAAGCAATAAAATTAAAATCTCAGTAGTTATCAACAATAATGAAAACCCCAAATCGACGAGTGAACATATCGAAAAAAGAATATAATTAAGGATTAAGATAAACGAAATAGTATGGAAGTATAGAAGTATAGAAGGTATGAATTGTTGTCTGATACAGATACTGGTTTTAAACCGTGTCCATACATGATTAATAGTTATTTCAGCATTATCAACAACCTAACATGCATCTGTGGCAAGGTGATTGACATTTAGTTACCTGAGCTTCTAAATCTACTCCTTTTATCATGTTAATCAACTCAACTTGACCAGAGTGTCTTCAACTAGATGTATTTTTGAAAGGTATTATAGGCATCCTAATGTAGGTAGTGTCATTAAAAAGTATGGGAGGAAACGCGTTACTTCGAAAGTTCGTTTACGTACAGAAAATCAGGGTATTTATAGTATTTTTGATGGCCGTGAGCTTCCGGAAATTTCTGGAACGCTACTAAACATAGCAGTATAGATAATCATCCATGCAGAAACGCGACATGTGACTTATCACTTTCTAGATGTTTCCAGCAAAACTTATATCGAATGCTGATTGGATAGGATGTTGTTTAGTATTTACAGAACCTTTTTTAAATCATTTTTTGAGGAATTTTCTGGAGCTCCCCAACAATGACTAGGTATTATTTAATGTAACGTTTATTAGCTCTAGAGTTCTTTGTTATATTGTTGCATCATTCTTTTGTTTTGTGATGAATTCACAATCTTTAGACAATTTTCATGAGATATCAGTTCTTATAATTATTAGACGACAAATGTCTACAATCGTAGGTCGTATGATATAAAACAAGTGAGTGGGTAATTCGGAAGTGAAGTATAGCCTTGGATAAAAATGTGAAGTTGTTTTATTAGGGCATAAATCTTAGTCAGCTCAGTATAAACTGATTATCATTCTTTACTTATCATTATATTAACCACATCATGTGTGGTAAATACATTAGGAATGCTTAAATTTCTTAATTTGATATACTATTATGTACATACTGATACAGGTTAGCCTCATACACCATTATTTGCAGTTTTGGTTTGGGCAGCCAAGAAGTTCCATTAGGCTTCACACTTAGTGTTGTTCATACCCAAGAACCTGGTAGACGAGTTAATTTAACTTCAGTCAATTAATTTTTCATTTACAAATAACTGATTCGACAAGATTTTAATTCTCTCAATTTCTTAAAAACTTGTAAAAAAAACTTTGGTACATATTAAGTTGTGACCGAAGAATTTTCTGTCTATTACTATCTTATTAATTGATTTCAAGAATTATTTTTCATATTTATTGACTGATTTGTTCGGTAATCTTAGACTGGTGCACGAAAATCTCCAATTTCTCAAAAGTTCACCGACGAATCTCGTGTACAAACAATCAAAGATATTTTTGAATATGGCTTAAATAATTCGAGTAAGTTCGTCCATTCACACTAACTATTTGTTTATTGTTGTCTGTTCACGATAAACTTTGATTTGCAAAATAGATCTAGTTGAATAATCAACTGCCAAGTATAACCTTGTTATTTGTTATTGTGTTTGTTGTTCTCGTTTATTTCAACCAGGTGGTTTACTTGTGAATTTTTCATTGTCTTTCGAGACAACGTCACCAGCACTTAATCCTAAAAGAAGTGACTATTTAGAATCGGTTCACAAACAGTCTACAGTTTATCATAACTTTTTCCCATGTGGCTATTGTATTTCCTATCAGTTTATAGCTTAGGTGAATTTCATCATTCCCAATAATTCGTGAATGACTTGAATACAAAGTCTTCTAAAATTCCTCTGTTCCCTTTGTTGCTGCTAGTTGGAACTTGATGAATTTATATGAGCGAATATGTTTTGAAAAACGATCATTGTTTTTAGTATTGTCATGAATTTTTTATACATGCTGTCAGATGGTGCCTTAACTCATGGTAGTGTATTTATTGTAATGTCCCACACTTTTTGTTTGGTTCAATATATCTAGAGGTTGGAAAATGAAACGGTTTTCGGGATTCTGTGCTAAGTTGTGTCCCATGCTATTGGATAACGTAAAGAAAACAAAATTAAAGCTTTAAGCATTTTCTGTTGTATTAAGTGATGAAAATATATTTACATTTATAAGATCGAAAAATCATGAGGTTGAACGACAACTTGATTTGGAATTCCAATTATCTAGCACTTACTGTGCACGAGATAATAATAGCTTTGTATATTCGAAATACTTCACGAATTCAAGATAGATCTCAACAACAAGTTCCAAGCTTTACAAGATCTCAAAGAAGAAGAAACTACTATGGAGGACAAATAGAAAAATATAAAAGAGTCACTAGCTTCAACGTTTCAGTTGGTTCTGGCCCTTAAGAAGCATCATCATACGGAATGGATCTCTATGGAAACCCTGGACATGATTCAAGAGAGGAAGAACAGGAAAACAGCAATTACCAACAACCGAACAAGAACAGAAAAAGTCAAAGCACAAGCTAAATACACGGAAGCAAACAAGAGAGTGAAGAAGATTATTGGAGCTGACAAGCAGAAATATGTGGAAGAGGAATCTGCAACAGGAAATTTGAAACAATTACGATACAATGAAGAAATTAGCACGAGACTGGTCAATGACAAAGAAAGCAAAACAATCACTGAAATTCAAGAGCAGACGAAGAGATGGGTGGGACATTTTGAGAAACTTGGATAGACGAGCCCTCTGAATCCATCGAACATCAAAGTAGCACAGACCTTCCAATATATATATATATATATATATATATATATATATATATATATATATATATATATATATCACTTCACCAACGATCGAATAAATCAGGATGGCCGTCAGACAAATCAAGAGTAGGGAAGCAACAGTACCTGACAATATACCAACCGAAGCACTAAAGTCAGACACAGAAATAACTGCAAAAATGCTCCCCGCTCTATTCAAGAAGAGTCGGAAGAAAGAACAAGTGCCACCTACAGACTGGAAAGAACGGTACCTCATCAATATATCAAAGAAAGGAGGTCTGAGCAAATGTGAGAACTACAGAGGCATCACACTACTATCGGTACCAAGAGAAGTTTTCAGCAGAGAGTTACTGAGCCGGATAAAGGACTCAATAGACGCCCAACTTTAAGATCAACAGACCGGATTCCGTAAAGACCGGTCGTATACAGACCAAATCATCGCTGAACAATCAATTGAATGGTAACTTCCTTGACTATGAGAAGGCATTAGATAGCGTGGATAGGAGAAAGTTATGGAATCTTCTTCGACACTGGAGTGAGTAGGTGAGAAAATCGTCAACATCGTCTGGAATCCATACGACGGACTACACTGCAAAATGGTCCATGGAGAACAGCTGACAGATGCATTCCAAGTCAGTCAGTCAGTCACAACGTAGAACTTCGTACGTACGTACGTACGTACAGCAGTTTGAGTTGTCACACCACATTAACACAGAGATGCAGTTGTCGATCCAAATCCCGTAGTGGTAGAGGTAGTAAGAGTGTAAGCAGTGATCGGGAAGATTAGGGTTTGGAGATGTTATTTAAAGAGTATAGTTCAGTGAAATAAATTTGGAAAGAGGGAAAAAGGGACATGAAGAATTCAGAAGATTAGAATTTGGGAGAACACAAAGAGTGGATGCACCTGCGCCATTGCAAACGATTTTCAGCCATGTCATTCAGGGTCTATAACCATCGGTTGCTATCACCTCGCGGTCGCCAACTAGGTAGTCTACACCTATCACCATGACTCAGACCACTTGTCAGTGACTTCATGGACTTGTGCCATGTTTTGGTCTGGCCACCCCTAGCTTTCTTCCACTCTACTCCTATACCACTAAACATCGCACGTCGAGGCAGTCGGTCGTTGGGCATATGTAACACGTTTCCCAGCCATCTTAACTGATGAAGTTTCACCACTTCATCAATTGATTTGCTATCCTTACCTAGTACCCGTTTCCTAACAACTGCATTACTTACTCGATGGTCCCAGGATATACGAGCAATATTTCGAAGACCCTTGTGATCAAATACTAGTAACCCACGAATATCCTCTACTCTTACCGGCCATGTTTCACTGCCATAAAGTAGGACAGAATGGACTGCTGCGCAGTAAACCCGTCCTTTGGTAGATAGACGGATATCTCACCTACGCCATAGATGACGCAAGTTAGCAAAAGCTAGTCGAGCCTTCTGTATCCGTGCTGAGATTTCGTCACACACCAGACCACAAGGGCTGATGAGACTTCCAAGATAAGTGAAGCGGTCGACACACTCAACTACTTCACTCCCTATCACTAGTTCAGGTGTCGATGTAACCCAATCCTGAAGCAACATTTTGCATTTCGAGGGAGAGAATCGCATCCCGAACATGCTTGCATTGTTGCATAGAGTGGTCAGAAGACTCTGCATTTTGTCAGCGTCTTCACCAAATAAAACTATGTCATCAGCACATTCTAAGTCAACAAGTGAACCTCCTGGTAGAAGTTCAACCCTTGGAAATTTAGATGAGGAGAGTGTTATCTCTATAAGTACGTCGACGACAAAGTTAAACAAGAATGGAGAGAGTAGGCAGTCCTGACGAACACCACTTGAGGTAATCAGTTTTGATAACAGTTCTTTATAAGCCCTCACTCGACCAGTAGTGTTCGAATGGAGAGCCTTTACAAGGTTAATGTACTTCTTTGGTTACCCCTTTCAGTAACAAACACTGCCATAGAACCTCACGATCAACAGAGTCGAATGCTGTCTTAAGGTCGGGAAATACTACAATTGTGGGGCATCTGAACGTGTGTCTGTGTTCTAGAACCTAACGTGGTGTGAATATTTGGTCTATACAACCACGTCCAGGCCGAAAACCAGCCTGGTTTTCTCTAGTCTGCTCTTCACGAGCTTTGGTTAGGCGTCGAAGTATTATTGAAGCTAATATTTTAGACACTATTAGTCAAACTGATTCCTCTGTGATTGTCACAAGAGGACTTTTGTCCTTTCTTATAGAGTGGCACAATCAGTGATTGAGACCAGTCAGATGAGATTGCGTGTAGTTCCCAAATTCTACCTAAGACCTCAGTTAATCTCATTGCTAATACTGAACCACCATCCTTAAAAATCTCAGGAGTAAACCTGTCAGGGCCTGCTGCTCTCCCTCGTTTCAGATTTCCTATGGCTTTTTCAACTTCGTAAAGAGACGGAGGACTTACATTAACTTGCCATTCAGGTTGACTAGAGATCGTGGGAAACCGAAGTGTGGCTGAAGGCCAGTTGAACTGATCCCTGAAGTGTTCTGCCCATCGATCCAATCTCCTGGATTGAGTGTGTATAATATGTCCATCTTTCTCTGAGATTGTTTCGCTAACAGTCTGTTTCCTAATACCGGTTTCCTTAACAAGTCTGAACAATTGTCTGCTATTACCTATTGCCGCTGCCTTTTCCATCTCTCTTGCTTTCGCTACTCACCACTGTTCACGACCATTGCGTATACTTCTTGTCAGCTTGCGCTTAAGCTGACTCCGCTCTTCACTATGTTCAGAGCCAGGGTCGACCTTTTCTAACCCCACCCCTCCTTGTGGGAAGGCAGCATTGCTGTCATGCTGGTTTTCTGAGGGAAACATCTTACTGCTGTCACACCTCTCTACAGTCAGCAGTACGACTTCGCCCTCAGACCTTGTGTTGCTGGTTTTAGTCTTACCGTTCATCAATCGACCTGCATGGCATGGTAGAACCTACAGGAACATATGTTGCAGTCAATATAGCTCGGTTGTGTCATCACAATAGGCAAGCCCGACCACCGCGTCAAGGTAGCAGCTTCGGTCGGGATGCATTCTAAGTGAGGACCGGTGTCAAACAAAGTTGCTTACTCTCATCCTTTCTGTTTCTTCTGGTGGTCAACTGAATTATGAAGACCTCAGGATCCAAAGGAAAGCGCAGAATACAATGGACAGCTTGCATGCAACAGACGATTTGGACTTTGAGGATGACCTAGCCCTTCTACCCCATACACACGAACAAGTGCAGGTGAAAGCAATCAGTGTAGCAGAAGCTTCTGCAGCAGTAGGACTCCACATTCATAAGGGAAAAAATCAGATCCTGAAATATTATTATTATTCATTATTTTAACACATAGATATTGGTACAAGGAGGCACCAAATACATATGCGCCACACAAATCTCATTCGATATGTGTGAGGGCTGTGATACTGCTCGGGTGCCCAGACCGAAGCAGGTGGTTTTCTTAGGGGGCCACACCCCGAGCCTTCGACCTGAAGGTCTGATCCACAAGGCAGTGGAGCATCGTGAGGAGATGCAGTTCCATGGTAGCCGTTGACCAAGGAATTGGTTCATACGCCATTTTTTCTCACAGGATCCTGGAACCCATGTGCACCATTGGTTTGAGATCCGGTTAAAGCGCCGGACACTCGCTTTTCATCCTCTTATTTTCGTAAACAACAACCCCGCCACGAGAAGGCAGTGAGTAGGACTTCCCTGGCAGAGGCTATATACGCGTGGCTATGTGAGAGCATTTCGAGAGGGAGAGCGGACTCTCCCCACTCTCAGCCGTACCAGGGCATTTGGGGGCAACAGGCCTAAGTAAGTAAGTATATTTTCAATGCAAAGTGTTTGAATGTGACCAGATGGCATGAAATGAAAATGTTATGCGTGTTCAAAATATATGACTAATAGGCATGATATACTCTTTATCGTAGCGGAATCAAGGTATTATAAGTGCTTAACACCGCGGCGTTATAGTGTAGGCATAAATCATTGTTTTATTCTAGACTAGTTTCAGTGTAAGCTTCTACAAAGTTTACTCACAAACTGAAATCTATTATTCCACTATATTTACAACGTCAAAATGCTTAACTTCTTTAAGATTTTACTCTGTATTTAGAGCAGTGAAATCCTATAATTTTTTCCTATTGAGGTTTCTGACTGTTTTTTATGTTCTTCACTAAGAAGGCAGGGAAGGACGTTATATACTTTTTCTGTTACGGAGCTATAAAATCCCGAATGTTGTTTTATGGTGATTAAACAGTACTTTATTGCTTGAAATACTGTTTATTTTATGGTCGCCACTCAAAATGGGGATTATTTGTATTATCGTGAATTAAAACTGTTAACTCACGTGGTTTACTGGGTCAGCAGTTAATTTGTAATTTGTGAATTTTTTGTAGCATGTTATCATGTATTATGTTTACTGCACTTTTTGTGATCACAATAAAAAGCTTTGTAGATGTCATTTATCGATTTATTAGTTTTTAATGCTCTATTTGAAACTCTTTCAAATATAGGATCCAATCGATGTCTGGGGAAACGGCCGTCTTTCAATGATCCATACTCGTGGCTAACTTATGATGAAGTAAATAGTCCAAACTGAAGTGTATATTTTTTCAGGTAGATGAGCGAATAAGGGCTATCGGGTCGGCGCTCTCAGAAATTGTGAAACTTAAACATGACTGTGAAAATTTTGTCGGGATTTATGCACCAAATTCACCAGAGGTAAGTCTGAAAGTTATTCAATTTTGAAATACACATTACTTTGTAAATTAATTAATCGTTGAAGTGTTTTCAGTGTCTGTACCAAATGGGATTTTACCAATGAGATATGGTATGTAATTCGTTTATTTATTTATTTATTTGAACACATAAACATTGGTAAAAAGGGGACCGAATACATATGCCCCACACAAGTCACTTGATTTGTGTGTGGCCTGTGATAATGCCTGATGCCCAGACCGTGGTTGTGGAAAGTGAGATATCCGAATGGTGAGACCTTACTTCTGTATCACAAGTCATGAATTATATTCCTTTTGGTTACTTAGAAAATAAATATATCTAGTATACTTGTCCTACACATACGTTTCTTCATCGTTTTTCGTTACTTACTTACGCCTGTTACTCCCAGTGGAGCATAGACCGTCGACCAGCATTCTACCCACTCTGCCTTAGGCCTCCTTTTCCAGTTCTATCCAATTGTTTTTCATTCTTATGTCTGTCTCGATTTCTCGGTGTATTGTGTTCTTTGGCTTTCCTCTTCTCCTTTGGCCTCTAGGATTTCAAGTGAGGGCTTGCCTTGTGACTCAGTTGAGTGCTTTCCTCAACGTGTATGTCCTATCCACTTCCAGCGCTTCTTCCTCCACTGGGATCTGGTTTGTTCTCTCCCATAGTGGGTTGTTGCTGACAGTGTTTGGCCAACGGATCCGAAGTATTTTGCGCAGACAATTGTCAATAAACACTTGTATCTTCTGAATGATGGCTTTCGTAGTTTTCCAGGTTTCCGCCCCATACAGTAGAACTGTCTCGACATTTGTATTGAAAATTCTGACTTTGGTGTTGATTGACAGTTGTTTTGAGTTCCTGATGTTCTTCAATCGTAGATATTTTTCTCTTGCTTTGCCGATCCGCGCCTTCATATTTGCATCAAATCCGCCGTTTTCATCAATGATGCTGCCCAGATATGTAAAGGTTTTTACATCCTCCAAAGCTTCTCCGTCAATTGTGATTTGATTGGTGCATTTTGTGTTGTATCGGCGAATCTTACTTTTCCCTTTATGCATGTTGAGACCTACTGCTGCTATACTGGTCGTGTTCTGCATTTGTTGTTGCGTGTGCGATAGATGAGCCAGATCATTTGCGAAGTCTTACTCTTCAATTTTGTTAGTTATGACAATTGCTGCTTATAAACTTAAATGGTAAATCATATTTAGGTTAATGTACAGGAACCTGTCTCCTTCTACCTCCTTTTTTAACCGATGATATTCTAATTTTTGGTGTGGTATTATAGAAGTTAGTAAGGAATTCGTACCCAAAACCATAGTCTTGGTATCCAAAATAAGTTTTTAATACCTCTATCTTCTTCTTGGCTAAAGAAAACCTCATAGATGATCTTAGTTATTAATTCTCATTTTTACTTCTATTCACCTTCATCTTTTTTTGTTACTCGCATACTGTAATAGATAATTCACACACACCACTGTTCAGTTCGATAAGTAATTAAAGGTGTGAGACGTCAATGCTGAGGGTTTAAACCTCCCCTCACCTTACTCAGGCACCACCTATCTCATAAATAAGTATGTTTGTTGAAGAAAACAACTGTTACTCAACAATTCATATATATTTGCGTTATTCTATTTTATACTCATTCAATTATAATTATTGCTAGTTGCACAGCTCATTAAACCCAACTATTTCTTCTACTATCCAGTGGGTTATTATGCAGCATGCATGTGCAGCGTATTCTTATACCATAGTACCTTTGTATCCAACTCTCGGTGATGAAGCTTTGCAACATATTCTATCGCAAAGTGAGTTTGTTTTTTATATCATTTCACTTATTTTCACCTTTTCTTTAGTATAGTATGTTTTACTAAATAATTTGTCTGCATGTGACTGTGTTTTACATTAAACGTATCACATGATTGGTACAACAATTAATAGAATTTCGTTGAAATTCGATATTTATCCATCGTGTTTATGAAGGTATCTGTTTGAACTGGGTTTCATACATTTTTGTGACTGTTTTTATTGTTGCTGGTAGCATCCAGAAATAAAAAACCAAATATATGATAAGTTATTTCAAGTAAATATGTTAGTTTTACGAGGGTGTAATACATTATCCTTAACAAAATGATACTTTTACAAATTACCTTACGGTAAAAGATTTTCAATTGAAAATGTTGTAGTCAAGCTAAGAAAGATATAAACAATCATAAATTTTTAATAATTGCTTATTCTACTTAAATTTTAGCGAAAATGAACTGTGTGCTGTGTGCTTCAGGACGTGAAGCTCTTCATTTAATGGACAAATTTGAATCTTCCCTTGAAATTTTAATCATTATTGCAAATGATTCTAAATTTGAAGAAGTTAAATCTCGTTATAGTTCGAAGGTTTCAATTTACTTGTTTGAAGAATTAATGGTAATTAGTGCTTACTTGCCAATACATTTTTATTCGTGCGATAGGAAAGGATTTTTCAGACTATTTAGTTACGAAATGGTGATATCTTCCATTGAACTACACATCTCTTATCATTTGCCTGACTTTCTACACTCCATCCATTATGTATTTTTATTTAATTACTTACACCCATCACCCCTCATGAAGAAGCATAGCCCTCCCACATATAACCATTTTGTCTAAGGCACGTAAATTTACAAACCTCTCACCATTCTCGTTCTTTTCTCCCAGTTACGCCATGTGGTCCCATGATATCTTTATACCCAGTGTTGTGCATTCTGACTTTGGCGTTTAGGTCTCCAATTACGATGGTCGGGTCCTTTCCTGGGCACTTCCCCACGATCGACTGCAGCTTCTCATAAAACACCACCATATTCATTGCTATCATTGGTGGATGCACAGCACTGGATAACATTCATTATGATCCCTTTGTTTTGAGGGATGCTTTGATGATTTTGAATCCATGAGATTCCCATCCTAAAAGTGCTTCCCGTGCCTTATTGGACAGCACCAGTGCAACGGTCGGGAGTTTTTGGGTGCATACATGTAATTATAAACCTCACCATATTCTTGACTCATCATGACAGAGTGAAACTATATGTCAGTCTTTATTGCGACCCGTGATATAAAATGTAATATTCAATAATCTTTTGTCTAAAGTAATATGCTCACCGTATAGCCTGGAATTCCTGTATCTACTCCGGGGTATTGAGTAGAAGTCTAGATCGTCCACCTCTGAGGAGTCTTGTACTGAAATGAAGTAGCTTTTCATTACTCCATGGTCTTCAATTGTTGTTAACCTTAAGTCAATTTTTGACCTAAACTATATACTATCTAAACAAACTTCATAGATTTGTCTTAAGGTATTGTTTATTGCGGCTGGTATCATTAACATAGGATACGACACAATTGTGTTTCATTCCGAATGTTCACACTCCATATTAACATGGTAAGGGGAAACCTACAACAACAAAAAGTCAGAGTGAATTTTCAACCATCAAAAATAGTGGGAAACATATGGGAAAGAACGAAGTTTGCCAGAACAGTTAGTTATGAGACAGTGATATATTCCATTGGGTTATAAAATCCCCACTTTCTGATTTTCTAAGTTCCACATTAATATAGACCAGCTTGTAGTGTACTTTTTATGGTTTAATTTGAAATTTAATAAACTGTCACCTTAATAAGTGCAGTACTTGTGCAAATTACGCAAATCAATAAAAAAAGTCAGTCTAGGAAGCCTATACCAGGGGTGTTAATTATTTATTAAAACAACAAACACATATAAACGAACAATATTGTCCTCAGTTGGATTTTCATCAGGCTTTACTCTTTCAATATTAACTTAAACACATAAATATTGGTATAAGGGGGCACCAGGTACATATGCGTCACACAAATCTCAGTTAATTTGTGTGTGGGCTGTAATACTACTCGAGTGCCCAGATCGAAGCAGGTGATTTCTTAGTGGGTCACACCCGGAGCCTTCGACCTAAAGGTCTGATCCACAAGGCAGTGGTGCAACGTCAGGAGATACAGTCCCATGATAACAGGTGATCAATAATTGGTTCATACACCATTTGTTCCCTCAGGATCCTTGAGCCCATGTGCACCATTAGTTTGGAATCACGGTTTTCCAACATCCCTAGGTGGATCCTCCATATCCACCAATCCGGTTAAAGCTCCGGACACTCTTTTCGTCCTCTCAATTTCGTAAACAATAGTAATGCCGCAAGAAGGCAGTGAGTAGGACTTCCCTGTCAATGGTTGTATGCACATGGCCATAAGGGAGCATTTGGAGAGGGTGAGTTAACTTTCCCCACCCTCAGCCGTACCGGGGCATTTGAGGACTACTCTAATATGCAGTAATATGTATATGCATTTGTGAATTTTAATAAACTAATATAAGGATTTTTAATAATTGTTTTATGTGGAGTCTATATTCTGTATAAGACACTAAGATTCTTTGTAATACGTATTTAACAAATTAGTGTGTTTCAACTATGAAAATTTATTGTGATTGTAATCATCAACGTGACTTCAACAAACAAAATTTTACATAATTTTTCTAGAAACTGGGGCTGAATAAACTTTTGCCGAAAAAAGTGAGTCTTCGCAGTGCATTAATTCAATCCTTTTATAAACCTTTATTTTCAGTGTCATTTATGAAACTGATTTTCACCGAATCCATTGGCGTAAATAAAGATTGGATTTTTTAAGCCCGACTCTTATGTATTTGAATTCGAACGAGATTTCTTTGTAGTATATAAATGAACTTGCTAGAATGTGTATTAATAACCCTAGTCTGGTATCAACTCTGAATTTCTTCAATCAGTCATACGCAACGTAGAATCTATTGTAGTGAACGAGAACTCTGGTAGGGAAAACTAATTGTTTAATACAAAATCACGGAGTTCTTTCGTAAAATATGAAAACCATACATTAAATACTTCATTTGCAAATCCTCCATCAATTGTCTCAAACTTCATCGTCCCGTCATTGCTATTGCAATTATTCTGTGTTTACATCCCCATTCTCTTCTATTCGACCTTCTGCTACCAGGCGTTCCACTTATGATTGGTGTTGCATACTTCATATGTCGACAGACATGCCCTGCCAAAAAGTGAGCAAGAACATATCCAGAAAGGTGTTATTGAACCATTAAATTTCTCAGAATGAGCTGCATCAATAGTCATGGTAAAAAATCCAATTGCAGCATCATTTTGTGAGCCTATTGATGAACTGTGCTCAGAGAAGTTTTAGAAATCCATCAGCGCATCACTTACCTTTGTTGAAAGATCTTTTCTCCAAGCTAGGTAGAGGTAAATTTTCGCAAACTTTGATCTGTCAGAAACTTACCTACAAATTCCAGTAGCTGTAGAATACAGAGAATTTCTAGTCAATAATACTCACAAGGTTCATTCCGATATAACCGATCCTTTCAGAGTGAAAGACACCCTCTATATTCCACCTAATGATAGACATCATGTTATAGGATACCTCAGGTGCTGCAGTTTACTTAGATGATATTCTAATCATAGCAACAAATTAAATGCATTTCGAGATGAAATTTGACCTGATGCTTTCATGTATAGCTGAATATATCTTCCTTTTTCGTGCATAAAAGTGCAATATTTGCATGTAACGTTTACGGTTTGTAGGTCTCATAAACACGAAAGTCCATCAAACCCAGCTAATATTAAAGGAATGAAAATCATGTTTGGACAAACAGACGTTCCTTTGCTATAAGAATTTTCAGGATTGGGTATTCACTGAACATCCATCTCTGGTCTTTACATGCTTCAAATTACGGTATGAGATCAGTTATCCTACACATCTGCACCAGCAGATTTGTAAAAGCAATCGCATGTATTCAGATATATATATATATATATATATATATATATATATATATATATATATATATATATATATATATATACATTACCTATTGACAGCATATTAAATACAACAATTTCTTTTTATCCTGTAGCAATTAAATATTAGTAATCGAAATGTTCATAAATTGTTATGTTTTGCAACAATCGATGATGAAAAAATGTATCTTTACATTTTTAAAAACATTTTAAGTTATTCCTTTTTCTTTTAAAAGAACCCGTTACCAACAGACCTTTATATGATTTCCTACACTAGTGGAAGTACTGGTAAGCATATATCTTGTACTGTATTTCAAGTAACTGAAATATCGATATGCTTGTCAATTTAAATGTATTTTTAACTTTACTTATTAAAACGCCAGTGTTTCTAAAAGTTCTTTTTCTCGCTTAAACATCAGTAAGGAAATCATGTCCTGTGCAATCGTAACAAGCTAAGTGACTTGTCTCAAGTAGATTCCCTTTTTCAAGAATATCTATCCCTATTGGCAGATAAAATGATAAATCACTGTAACATCCTTTTCTGTCCGTAACTGTTTAACCAATTAACTTTCACTCCATAAAATCCAGAATTAGGTAAGTGCCTGAATACAACACAGCCGTCAGAACAAAGTGTATAGAAAGCAAGTACATAAAGTTGGCTAGTTGTTAGAGAAATAATCTGGTTATGCAGGCTACCACCTTTTTGAAAGTGTAGAACTAATTCAGTAGAAGTTGATCGTTCTGTCTCTGTACTAACTGAATTGTTTTAGAAGTCAATCGAAGATTTTTAAGTTACTATTATTTGATTATAGGCGTCTCCGAAGCATTGCTTATTTATTTTGCGACTGCTGAGTGAATCTCCATCTACTGAGGCGATTAAGACGTATTATGTAGGCCAAGCCACCACCTAGCTCGACAGGGATATTGTCTACGCTTGAGGCAAATCGGAAGAAAACTAGGAGTGACCAAATTAAGACATGATATCAATCCATAAAGTCATTGATACTCAAGCAGTTTTGATGGGAGGTAAGTTTAGATATGTTTACTCTCTAGAGTCGCTTAGATCCTGAATTTCAAAACGATTTTATACCTTCTATTCAGCTAATTCATTCTTTTCTAATATATTCCTTACACTTAGTGTTTCTCACTATCACCGATACTACTACTGTGGTGGACGCTACTCACAGGATTGTTTGTAAGTATTATATAGCGGAACGTGGCATCGGATTTGTAGCAATTGTCAAACCGAGTGAAGAGTTTGCGTACATCGAAAGCGCAGCGTTGTTAGGACACACCGAAAGATGCAAATGAACAATTAAAGACTATGTGTATTTATTATGTAAATACTTTGTAAATTCTCACAACAGATATATATCCCTCCTACCTACTGCCTACTGCCTTCTACTTTTAGTGTCACTGCCAGGATCAAGATAAAAGTGCCGTGGCCAGAGCCGTTTGAAACGGAGACATCGGGAGCTACCTCCTCAGACAGTTTGAGGCGATAGCAGGACTTGTCGGTGTGTTCTGCTATCTGAATTGTCTTCTCATTTTGTCCTCAAGTGTTCGGTCAACACCGCACTTTAGATGTACGCAAACTCTTCACTCGATTTGAAAATTGTTACAAACTCGATGCCAATTTCCCGCTATATACTACTTAAAAACAATCCTGTGAGTAGGGTCCACTACACTTCTAATATGATATTTTGATGGTTTCATCTTGCTATGCTATAGAAATTCGGACCAAGATACATGTGACAGGTCCTACACTCTACATAACTGACTGAATCCGTAAAGGATTTGTATTTGTTAGGCTTGTTAAGAAAGTTCTTGGTTTTTTATTAGTTAGCAGACACAATCAGGGCAAAATATTTCATGTCAGGTATTCTTGTTGTATACAAGAATAAAACACTTAAAAATCTCACTTTTTGTTGATGTAGGTTTGCCCAAAGGAGTTCTCATTAGACACAAAGAAGTTACATGTGCCGTAATTGGGCTTCATGAATCTAGTGAATTCAAGGTAAACCAATGTGTCATTTTAACATATTATCTGTTTAATTAGTAATGGATTTTCTTAAATACGTTAGTTATACAAATATACAAATCCTGGATGCTTGAATAATAAACATAATTTATCTCAGTGATACTAATATATTCTGGCTGTTTCAGTCTTACTCATTATATTATCAGTAAATTAAAAATGATAAGCGATTAAGCTTTTTCTGTGGGCTTCACTTCGGTAGTCTACAGAGTCTCCTACGATTCAGATAGATATGTTGAGTTTTGTGTTTTTTTTTTATATGTATCAATTGAAAGGGCTTAAAATCCAGCATGTTTTACGTTAAAACCGATGCTGGCTACACGAATTTAAACATCAGTGCAAGAGTTGACGCTATAAGTAAATGTAACACAAATACACTATAACGAAATATGCACCAAACTCTAATTGACTCTTCATTTAACCTCAACCACTAGGAAGATATAAGAAAGCAAAAGATTTACTCCCTACTCCAACTGGATGGTTTTTAGTGGCCCAAGATCTGACTTCAGATAGATAGTTTCTGATTGCTGTCAAAATATGCGTCCTGGTTATCCTCGTATATAATCTTTGACTTAACTGGCGTTAGTGAACGGGATTAAATAAGTCAAATACGAAAATGAGGTTTTGAATACGTATATTTCATACAATTGTTGATCGAGACAAACGAGCGGAGAAGAGAAGAGGGCGACGCAAAATGACGCGCAGTGTAGAAGTGTTAGCCAACTAAATTGAACCATGAGTGAATCGATATTTATAGTGAGACAAAAATAAGCTACAGACATGTGATAAGTAACGTAAGACATACACACATATTCTAACATAAAAACAGTCAAGGTTGATAATCGAATGATTAACACGGTCATAACGTGACTCAAGAAGAATGGATATAATTAGCTTGTCCTTAAGCTAGAATAAGCTATGTGGGCTTAACGTAGCGACCGATACCACAGGTTACGTGTAAAGCACGTGGATACTTCTGGGACTTCTGGATGTAGCCTTAATAATTAGTCATTCAGGATGTGAGTTGGTTTTGTCGCTTCTGGTTCAACAATATCCCTATGACGATCGTTAAAAATGTTTTTTTTTCGGCTGATTTGAGTAGAATTTTCGAGAAATAATGCATTTCCCAATAGATTAGACTTATGTAACTAGACAAAATTTAATGCTTATCCAGTGATTGATTTTGTTTTTCTTTTATATTTTCTATTTCAGATTGTCAATTCTAATTCAGTACATCTCTCATATCTCCCACTGCCACATATTATGGAACAAGTAGCAATGGTAAATTGTTTTATTTTTAACTCATTTTTGTCTTGGTTGTTCGAATTAAACTTCACCCCATCGCTTAATTTAGTGGATATCTGGACTTAGTGGCTAAGTAGATAACGCGATGACGTTTGAAGCGAACGGCACTGGGTTCAAGTCCCAGGGTGAACATCGACTCTAAAATGCAAGTACACCCAGATGATGAGTCTCGAATCGGGAAGAAACGCGCCACCCGGATCCCATTGCTAGCCACCATTCATCTTTGTCCTATTCTTATGCCTTTTTGATGATTATCAGTATTAATTTTAGTAGGTAACCATTTCCATTCAAAACGTTATCAGATATTTCTGTTGGGGACAACCTATGGTTTTATGAGAACTGAGACATCGACTGGAAATGACATCAATGTTTTCAAATTTCTACCTTTTAAAAATAACAGGAGATCTTTTAGTGATGAATTTATTCATTTTGAGGATGTTAAGTGTAGGGTGAGTAAACGTATGTCAACCCCCCCCCCCAAGTTCGACAACTGAAGTTTACTCAGTTGTAGTGTCTTACTGTGTTTTTTTTTTCTAACAAGAACAAAAAACTGTTCAGTAGCCCCTAGTCTTCCTTGATTTTCCAGCTAATGTTCATCTGCATTGAAAAACACATTTAATCGACTTTAGTTTGATACGTTTTTGTTGTTCTTCCAATAGTGTTTTCATAAGAATTATATTAGTTCAGTATTTTTCGCTTAAAGAACTTTGAATCACAACCTTTATGAAATATGTAATACTGTATCTTGGTATTTACTTACTTCTATTATCCCTCGTGGAGGAGCATAGGCCACCTACCAGGATGTATCTTGGTGTATTTAGTCGAGTTCCTGATGAGTTTTATTTTGTATCGTTTGAGGACAATTAACCCTGTATCATTCTGAATCAAACACTCTTCATCACTTGTCATGACACTACCGGCCAAAGTTAACTAATTATGTAAAAACGATTATCTGATGCAAAATGAATATAACTCTCATGTTCATGTTTTGTAATGCTTTACTCCTAGACATTTTGGAGTTATTATTATATGATTTTGAAAAAAATCCAAGTAAACCATACTGAAAGAAATCGATTACTTCTAATTATCTTTTTTGAGTTGTCAATTTTATCAACATTATTTTATTACTAATTGATTGTCTGATTTATTTTCTTAGTCTTCTCATATTCTGATGGGAGCTTGTTCGGGATTTCTAACAGAATCTATTGATGGTCTACTGGATGATGCTTATCTTTTGAGACCAACTTCACTGGTTGTTGTTCCACGTGTACTTTCTCGTATGTACACAAAATATCAAAGTGCATTGGGTGATTCCGTAGTAAAAAAGAAACTTTATAATTACATTGTGAATAAAAAATTAGCTGAACAAAAACGGTATGTTTTCTTGTTTTTCAAAAATATCTTAGAAAATCAATACTCTAAAGCATTTACGATTGCAAAACAGGGTTATACTCATTTAAATTTCCACAAAATCGATCAAACCAATACCGATTGTATGGAGTTTTCCAAGTGTGTTCTTTCTGTGTAACTAAAGATAGACAGTTAGATAGATAGAGAGTGAAAACTGACCTAGTTATAATCTTGACTGTTTTCTTTTATATTAATGTTGACTAATAAACAAACGTATAAATATGCTTTGAATTAACTATGTATGAAATGAATTTCTTTAATAAAACAAAACAAATAGAATTCACTTGTGCATATTTTCAGTTTTCTCTTAGTACCATTTAGATGATGATAGTTTCAAATAAATAGAGCATTTGGTAGATTGTTATTAAGAAAAAATAATTCCCTGAAGAGGTAGCTTACACTGAGTTATGAAATGTCAGAAAATTAATTTTTCTACTCATTGAGAGATTATAAATATATTATTTTTTATTAAAATTTAAATGATAATTTAATTTTTCATCGTAAGTTTTCAGTGACTTGAAGAAGTTTTGCTTCAAATAACACCATTAAAAAAAACGAATGACGAACAAAAACGTTCAACAGTGAACATTATCAGTAAACTAGGTTATTCGTTTACAAATATTCTCCGAAAGTATTTGAATAGTTCATTATTTCCATAATTCAGTTAAATGTTTACAATGAGAAAGGATCGTTGTCATATTTGTCTAGTCACTAAAGCTGATCGAATTTTATCGAATAAGTTGCAATGTGATCGTCAGTCTAAGTAAATCGAAATCACATACACTATGTTTGAAGGTCATACGAACTAAATACTGGACCTAAGTTTCGTGCCACGTGGCGCTCGTTAGCATGGCGTACGTGTAACGTTGAGGTAACTGATACCCCTGGTGGATTTCGAACCCAGATCACTCAGTCTGAAATGTTACCAACTGAAATATTTGGCCTCCGACTGACTGTTAGTCGCCTAACGTCAACTAGATGCTTCTGTACTTTGGTGCGATCTAAATAAGTACAATAATAAAGTTGATTTCGAATCATTTTATATTAAGATATTTCGATTTTTTGTTTAGCAATTGAATACTCACCTAATGAATTGCTTAAATCAATAATCTCTTTTCTACTTTGACTGGAATATTTCATCTCACTTTCTAGTGCATAGTGTTTATTATCTGCGTTGTTGTCAATCTGTTGCAGAATCGATGATTTATTGAGTTACTTAAAAATGTTTTGCTAATCACACCTATAATAGGAAAGAGTGAAGATATTTACTGTCACCCGTTATTTCCATGTGCTAAATTAGCTGGTTCAGTAAGTAATAAATTCTAAGGTGCTTTTATATAGGCATTTCGAATCAATGATAACTTTGCAATATTGTCAACAATCACTGCCACTATTGCTTCATAAAATGAAAGACTTGGAATTCACCCGGTCTGATTTTGGTATTACGTTCTGCTTCACAGTTTGATGTAGTTGTGTATCATCCACTTTCTAAAATTTCTGTCCAATTAAGTTTGAGTTATCAAATATTTGCTTCATCAAACAAGAAAATCATACTTATGATAGGGATAATCTTGAGTTTCATTATTTGCAAGAAACGAAGAGTTCCCCGTCGAGTTATAGTCGACTTATTGACGTTAGTTTACATTCCAATATAAAATCGTAAGAATTTACTGTATCTGTAAATATTCATTTTGACTCTAGCATGGTAGGGTTATTTATTCCCAACAGCGAATCTTGCAAAATTAAAACTTTTTACTGTTGGTAAATTTGTAAGTAGTAATCGATTATTTCCTTTTGATCCTAGTGGAAAATTTAATCATCGAAGCTTTGTAGACACATTGTTGTTTGGTAAACTTAGAAAGAAATTTGGCGGACGTGTGTGTTGCGTAGTATCCGGGAGCGCCCCATTGTCACCAGAACTCTCAAAGTTTGCACATGCTGTATTCAACGTGGTAGGTTGGATTCTGTTTTATTTCAAACCAGATTAGTAATTTTCAAGAATATCAATTCGCTAATAGTTTTTCATAGTATCATTACTATAAGTGGTTTATGTCTTACTCTTTAATTCCTTATTTAGTGGTAAATGATATGTCTCCAATTTACACCCTTGGATAATTATTTGGAAGTTGTCTTATTTCTTCTTCCACTCGCTTCATCGACTGTTCTTCTACATTTATCTATCATAAATCAAATGGTACTTATATTGAATGAATGTTATGTTTGACACCATTGCTATCTGCATGAACTATCAAACTAATGTCATATTTTAGTGGATTGAGAACTTTTGATTTGTTGTGGGATATCTTTTTATGTATTCTGATTATAATGAGTTAGTTGCTTTAATCAGTGCCTTACTGAGCAAAACTAGTAAAATTGTGAATTATGTATAGATGGGGCATTGGCGTTTAATGCTTCTGCAATAGTCACATAGAAAAAACCATTGAGCGTCAAGATTCTTTACTTAAAGATAATTATGGCATGTGTTGGTTTTTGTTCAGGCGTAATACATATTTTATGATCATTGGTGTAATACAACAATCTTTTAATTAAAAAAATAACGTTACTCCTATAACATATTTCTGATTTCATCATATTAATTTCCGGACATCTATTCATATTTTTGTATGTAAAAGGTTTTTGAAGGGTATGGAACAACCGAAACAATGGGAGGCGTCACTTTGTCACCGGTCGGAGAGTACCGTTTAGGTACTGTCGGTGGTGTTGTTTATGGTGTTGAACTGAAACTTGTGGATGTCCCAGATTTGGGTTTGGTTGCACTACGTGATGGAAGGGGCGAAGTAAGATTTTAAAAAGTATTGAATAATAAAGTTCATTGACATATTCTGCTTAATTGGGAATACTTGGGCGAGCAAAGCTTTATTTGAATAACTTCATCATCAGAGTATTTACAGTTATAAATCCATAATCATGACGATCACAACGACCAAAATGTATCAAAATACTCTCGTATGACCAAGCGTATATACCCACTGCCTTCTCGCGGTGGGGATGTTGTTTACAAAATTGAGAGAACTGTTTGATGGGTTCGAATGATCTGCGTAGGGGGTGGGGTGGGGTGGAAAACCCTGATTGTAAAACAATAATGGGCATGGGTCCCAAGATCTTGAGGGAAAATGACGTATGAACCTATTGTTGATCACTGGCTACCATTAAACTACATCTCCTACTGTTGCCCCATTGCTTTTTGGATTATACCTCTAGGTCAAAGGCTCGAGGAGTGGCTGCCCAACGAAACTACCTGGTTTGGTTTGAGAACCCTAGCTCACATATAAATTAAATGATGATCATGCCTGAAATAACTACTCTTGCATCCAACTTGCTTCGTCACAAACTGTATCCACAATTATTTGGTAACATTCGTCTATATTTTACATTGCGTCACTTGTCTATTCGTTTACTTCTATTTTGTGTATCTCTATGCTTCAACTGACCGTTGCTGCTACCCTGAAGTGGTAGTCGGGCTTGCTTATCGTGATGATGATGGCTGTGCTAGGTTTGAAGCTATTACGAGTTCACTTAGTATGTGAACGGAACAAAGACTTGTGATCGTAGACCAATAAGCTGGCTATTTGATGCATCCCAGCCCCACTAACTAGAGGAAGAAGTCCAAACATGGAACGGGAAAGTATATTACGTAAGCCAGAAGCACGAGTGAATAATAACAGACATAGATCAAACTTATATATACAGCATAAAATTGTCCTTGAGTATCGTAGCAAAAATAGCATACTAAAAATACACAACGTACCAATAGCGTTAAAGATTCTGCCAAGTGGGAAATAGCGCTTTTGGCGCGATATCAAGGAAATTTAAATTTCCAAAATAAAATTACAAAATCAAGGCATTTGTTAAGTGAGTTCTGTGGATCTAACATCCCCAACCGGCTGGAACAATCGTTCCTCAAGGTCCTACCATGCCAGGCAGATTGGTCGAAGAGCGGTAAGACTAAAAAGGGCGAACCCAAGACTCGAGGGCGAAGTCGTACTGCTGACTGTACAGTGATGTGATGGTAGGTAGGGTGTCTCTCTCAAACAACGAGCATAACAGCGATGTTGCCTTCTCACAAAGAAAGGATGGGGTTAGAAAAGGCTAACACTAAAAACGCGCACCTCGCCTTATCTCATGGATATCTGTCTCCGGCGATAAGGTCTCGACAAGTACAGAGCTAACACGAAGATTACTCGTAAAAAGGTCGTGTGTGGCCGACCTTAATCAGTTGTCCCTTGGGCACTGAGGTCACGCTCTCAGGTCACTAAGACCATCTCTGCCGGGAAGTGTCCCCAAAACACGCATACAGGATCCTAGTCTGGTCATTCACTTGAACTCACCTCATCAAAACGAGAGACCGACGAGATACACCCTCCGTGTATCTGGAGATTCGATGGCTAGTTCTCGTGAACTGGTAGATGTCTTTATAACACTAAGTACGAAGGCAGAATAAGCACTATTAACGGTTGCCTATGTGGTGTTCGACTAAATGGCTCAGTAAGAATTCGGAAAGATAGGGACACACGTCGTTGCCTTTTGGTCATTTCTGCCTACGCTCCCACTGACTGTAGCCCAGATGAATTTTACTAAAAGCTTTCTGAACTTCTTCAAAAAGCGAAACGCTCAGAAACAGTACTCATAGCAGGTGACTCTAATGCCCAGGTATGTAGCTTAAACTAAATAGAAAGACATTTAGGCGGGTATTTCAGTATTCCGGCTCAGCGAACAGGTCATCTGCAACTTTGCTCAGATAATCGTTTATTTTTAGGAAGTACTCACTTTAAGCATAAAGAGAAACATCGTCTAACATGGTGAGCCCCTGTACCAAACCAACGATGAATTCAAATAGACCATATTGCCATCAGTCACCGTTAGAGTGGCTCGACAGAAGGCTATCGCTCATTCTGGAATACATGTTTAGACTCTGATCATGCTCTAATACGAGCACACATTTGCTTGTGCCTCACTGAACGCAGAAAAGCCACATTAAGAAGGCCAACTAGAATTGATTGAGTGATGAGAAAGCCGAAAGTAGATTCCAGAAACAACTGAAGTCACACTTAGGTAGTTCTGAAAACGAAGCCGACCCAGATGTTTCTTGGAAAGGTATGCAAACAGCTGTGGAAACAGCAGTAACATCTATTAATGACTTGAACCAAAGGGTCAAACTCATTCTATGATAACTACAGAGGGATTAGTTTGACTAATATAGCATCTAAAATACTATCCTCAATAACTATCGAACGCTTAATAAAGACTCATGAACTGCAAACGCAAGAAAATCGGTTGGTTTCAGACCTGGTCGTGGCTGTATCGACCACATATCCACCATTCGTCAGGTTCTGGAACACAGACATGTTTATCGGCGTCCGACGACGATAGTTTTTCTTGACTTAAAAGCTGCATTTGACTCTGTAGACGGAGAGGTTCTTTGGCAGTGTCTGTCATTGAAAGGTGTACCTCAGAAGTAGTTAGACCTTGTGAAGGCTCTTTACTTGAACACTGCCAGTCCGTCAGAGCTTGTGACGAACTGTCCTCTGATTTTACAACGTCAAGTGATGTCCATCATAACTGTTCAATATTTCCATTTTTGTTCAATTCCATCATAGATCTACTGATGGAAATAACGTTCTCGTCAACTGAATTTTCAGGAATCAATCGCTTTCCAGAAGGTCCACTTATCGACTTAGAATACACAGATGATATAGTCCTGTTTGGTGAAGACGCTGATAATATGCAGAGTCTTTTGATAGCACAATGCCAGAATGTTTGGAATGCGCTTCTCTCCCTCTAAATGCAAGTTGTTGCTTCAGGACTGGTCTGCGTCAACACCTGAACTAAGGATAGGGAGTGAAGTAGTCGAACGCGTTGACAACTTCACTTATCTTGGAAGTCTGATCAGCCCTAATGGGTTGGTGTCTGACGAAATCTCAGCATAGATTTGAGAAGCTCATTTGGCTTTTGCCTCTCCATCATCCCTACCTACGCTCTGACAGATTGCAATCCGGATGTGATCATTAATGAATTTTGCCACTAAGTGTTCGATTGATGTTATAGAGACTTGAGTGCTCAGTTCGGGCATCTAGGCAGAGATGAGAGTCATCTAGGTGGCCGACGTAAACTTTTTGGTTGCAGGACGGAGAACAATGACTGTCCACTGCAACTTCGCGGCACTATAACCTGTTTCTGGCTAGCACTAACTATTGGAACAGTCATCGACGATGTGCTATCTGGCGTCCTTCCTCTACATCTGAAGCCTGGACTCAGATTGAGCATATCGAGATCAGCCTCCGCTGGAATAGTTGTATTCAAAACTGCCTCTCTTTTTGGAGTACTTATTTTGACTCTAATAATCAATCCCTTTGTTGCGCCAATCCTATCTTATTTTTCACTGACCGACAACTTCATTTTCCTAAGTAGATCGATGTCAGGGAACTGGTTATGTTTTATGTTGCAACTAAATATCAAACTAAGCTAGGATCATGGCTAGCTATCAACCCACTGAAAATTACAGATGAGCAGTGGTTGCAATTGCTTGACGCCATGAAAACAACAACAATAATAATAACGTACATCAATTTACAATTAGAATATTAAACAACAGTTAAAAGATTTGTAAACAAAGAATATTTTTATTTGAATGACTTCATCACCAGAGTCTTTACAGTTATAAATCCATATATATGACAATTACAATGACCAAAGTATAGGATATATAAATGGGTGAAAAAAGAGCCGCAGGTAAGTATTCTGTGTCTGGTGATTTGTGTTGCTTCAAGAGTTGGAGGTTCTTGCGGAAATGTAAACCGAAATTCAACTCTAAAAAAAGTCCATTCGTGCTAAACTAAGAAAAACACAATTGCGTCATAATTTGTTTTTTAGATATGTGCCAGAGGCGATCAGTGCAGCAAAGGTTATTTCAAGGATCCGGTAAAAACTGCCGAACTTATTGATAGTGATGGTTGGGTTCATACTGGGGATATCGGTGAATGGACTGAAGTAAGTCTAAAAATACTTTTTGATATATCTTTGTTCGTTTATTCATCAACCAATATCATCCTATGTTTTATAGAATAATGCAGCTGAATATATTGTTCATCGTAAATTTATGAAAGTTACTTTATATATGACATTTTATTCATTAAGTTACAAATTGGATGGGGCACAAATTCTGGGACACTTACCTATTTACTCTATGGTTTAATACTTGGACTAGTGATAAGTCTTCTCATTTAACAATTATTTATTTACTCTCTAGACGCTTCCAATATCCTTAGCGTACTAGTACACTTGAGCTCGACCAAGTGTGAAGTATGAATAAAAGCTCTACTTTTATGCTTATCTGTGTACAGAAAATCGAATTCATTTAAAGGTTTTCAGATAATTATGTTCTTCTAGAAACGTCTGGAAGCACAATAAACAGTCTCAACATCAGTAACGTTTTCTAACTTAGTATAAATCAATTATTCAGTGAAGAAATAAATAACCGAATTCAATAGTACAAAAAAACAGCATACATTTAGCTCAGTTCAGATTAAAATAAATCTGATCAATTCAGTCAAAATGAGATTTATTTGCGTGTATTTATGTGTATGTTAGTGGGTGTAAAAATTTGATATTTGTATTGTGGAAGAGTAAGTCTAAAAATTTTAATGTGGTTGTTAGTGATGTGAGATGTGCATACAAATAGTTTTAAGTGTATTAAATAAAAACCACTAATGAAAATTCTACTCTTATTATTCACCATTGATTAATTAAATGAACGCAAGAATGCTCAAAAACGCCAGTTTATTGCACGTTTATTTAAACATTGAAAAAAATGATGGTTATGTTCTCTCAAAAGTGACTTACACCAAGTCACGAAACGTTGGAAATGTAACTTCCTACTTATTGAGATTTTATGAATATACTATTTCTGTTATAAGTAATTATCCAATCAAAATGTGAAACAATCCTACATTTCTCTAGATTTGTTTGGAGGGTTTCTATGCAGTGCTGATTGAATAAATCGTTTTTAGAAACTTTACCGATGGATATTTGTTGAGATTACTAACAACTAGCTAAATAAGATGAGAAATCGCTTTTCAGAAAGATTACTTACTGTATTTATCACAGTGCGTGTCAACACTAACTGAAATTTATTTTATTTTGAAGGCAGTCCTTATAATTCTGTGTTATATTGGGATCATCAGTATACTGGATTTATGCCAGGTGTGGTAATGAAAGGATTATTTTTCACCTTTCACTTGATGACGACGTTTTGTACCCCTAACTTCGTTTGTTAACGGTCCTAATTTGAAGCCATTTTAAAATTTTACTAGCTAAAATGTTCAAAGTTCATGTCTATTTCATCCTTCAGTAGCTAACTACAGAGATGAAGCTACGAATTTTCAATAACTTACGTAGTCATTGAGTTTAATTTGCTGACTACTTTCCTGTATAAGTGATTTTTTGACTGATGGTTAAGAATTTTTAAATACTTAGAATCAAATTTTCTGATATATTATAGAATTTAAACATTCATGTTGAATTATGATCTGCCTTCTGTCAGTAAGTAAGCTATAGTTCCTTGCATTATTTGGCTAATCTGAAATCATGAATAAACAGAATCTATCTAAAATTACTTGAATCATTTACTTCATTAACATAAACATGTATTTATTTATTTTATAACAGGAAGGTTCACTCAAAATTGTGGACCGTGTAAAGAGTATATTCAAATTAGCTCAAGGTGAATATATTGCACCTGAAAAAATAGAAATGGCTTATCAAACTTGCAAATTAATAAGTCAAATATTTGTGGATGGTAACAGTCAAAAAAATTACCCAGTTGCGATAGTAGTTCCAGATTTTACTGAATTGCGTTCCGCTCTAAGCAATAGTAAGGTACTGCAGCATCATAAAAAACTTTTGGATTCTGAACTTTGTCGAAATGAAACTGTCAATAAATTCGTTTTGGAGAAAATGAATGGTGTGGCGACACTAAAACTGTTGAAGGGTTTTGAAAAGGTTTGTGACGAATGATTTAAAAATTGTAATCGTAATTTAAATACTCAATCCTGTTCTTATTTATGTATGTTTCGTACCGATCGACAAACAAACAAACAAATTAGTATTTATGATATATAACTGACCTCGGGTTAAATCACAACTAAGCATATTAGTCAATGAAATTGTGAATTTTCATTAGTCGATGTAACTCACTCATGTGAATTTACCTCGCATCAAAATGGGTATTACTGACCTTATTAAGTAATTAAATAGAGTTGACACAATGTTGATTTGTAGAATTAACAATCAACGGAACTAACTGTACCTGAAATTATGAACTTCCTTCTTTGGTCATATAAATGTTAGAAAGTCATAGCTGTCAGTACTCCTCAACCATAGTTTTAATGATGTTTTTGTCACTTTGAATTTTTGTATTATAATACATTTAAACTTGAAGAAATATATGCTATCCGGTGCTCGGTAACGTTATACAATTTATTAATGACTTTATATTGGGTTCTTATATGGTTTCGCTAATTAATTGAAGTTAGAAATGTAAACCTATAGATGCCAACTCAGAAATTACTGTAATTTATGAGTTCGATCTCCAGTGAGATTGTGAATACTCACCGTTTAACGGTCTCATACTAGCTAGAAATTAGTTGTCCAATGCTTTGTGTTTTTCATCGGTTATTTAACCAAGATCAGCTCATAATGTAAACTACAAAATTCAACAATCTACACAAACTTCCTTTTATTCTTTAACCAAACTGATTTTTCAGTTGATTCTTTCCTATTGTTTCATACAAAAGAAAATACTATTTTCGTTCTTTTGTTACATTCATATTTCAGTGTTTTTTTGTTCTATAATCAGGCGACACCATAGTTTAAATTTACTTCCTAGTTTAGTTTACTTGATCAAAGCAAAATTTCTAGGGTCAATGGTGATATTGTTTTCCGTATACTAATTAAACTCCCACGTAATCTAACCATTTTCTTGTTAATCAAAAAAAACAAGCTTAGCACACATGATTGCAAATGGAAGACATTTCTACGTATAAATAGAAAGTTTCTCAGTCTATTTTTATTACAGATGAAGTTTTAAAACCAATTACTGAACAGAATATTGTCAATTATTCCTGATTATTTTAACAACAAACAGTTTATTATTAATAATTAAACGCGTAGACTGTTAATGTTTACTTATGTGACAACCATTTAGCATAAAGATATGTAATGATACTAATTAGAAACAACCATATTATTAAATAAGAATAGTTTATATTTAGTTTTAGTTTTTAATGTAATTAATTATCTTTTACTATTGAAATATAAATAACCTTAGCCGTTAGTTTATTTCACATTATTTTGTTGTACAAAATGTTTACCATTTTGTTACTTTCATGATTACCTTTTCATAATTTAGAATGTGGTGATTTCATCATTGAAAAGTACTTTAATTTTATTTATCTAAACATTAGTGTAAAGTTTTAAAGGTTAATGGCATGATGTGCATAGAACTAATATTTCTTTATGCTTATTAAATAATTTTTGTTCAGTCAATAGGTTCAGATATACACTTTGTGTATATTTCAATCATCCCACTGGTTTAAAATGGTGTTTTCCACTTCAAAATGAACATTTTAAACTAAATTGACAATAATACGAAGTGATAAAGTTTATGAAGGATGTATAAATCATAATGTATTGATTTTACAGTACCACCATCAATGGTGATTGTATACACTCCATAATAAAAATAGATTCAGCGAAAGTAATGCTGTCGTTAAAGTACAAAGTGATAACACATAGAGAAATGTGATTTGGTTGCATGAGTTGATTAGTGAGTTAAAAGGAATTATGGTTTAATGAAGTTCCCAGAAACATTTCAAGCCATAATCACGTAACCGTAACGTTGATGATCGAGCCATATCAGAGTGCTGATACATATTCAGAAATCAATTAGACTTTGCGACTCAATCCAAGTTTTTGAATACCGTATTGTCTTACTGTGTTAGTCTAAAACAACACTGTTAGCGATAAGTAAAGCCAATAGTGTTGTCCTGTTTGATTTTTATCAAGTTACAACAATTATGTTTGCTTCTTCAACATCTTTGTTCAGGGTTATTCAGTTGAAACGGTTGCTTCAGAAAGAACACTACTTGTGTTTTTACTTCGGATTTTTCATACTTACCAAGTCTTTAATATATCTGTATGCGTTGAGAAACTCGTAGATTTTGTGCCTAATGCTTAAAGTAACTTTTATGATTGATGCGAAAAAAGTGGTTCTGGATTTATTCTAAGAAGGTAATCTCTTTCGGTAGTGTATCTGAGTCATTCGGTTTTATTATTGAATTGTTTTTGCCGTTCATATTCGGTGGCTATTTTGAGTCGAAGTAATCTTTCTGGAAAAAAGAAAACGCATCACCACGTAAAGCATCTACTCGGGCTACTAATGTGTTTTCTGTCATTTAAAATTGAGATCCGAATCATTTATCAGATAAAAATACTTGACGCTTTTTCTACTGTATATTATGCAAACCATGTATTGAAATCTCTTTTCGTATAGTCTGAAGTAATTATGTGTCTGATTTATATTTTCTAAATTTTTGTACTGACAGGTCCAGGCAATTTACTTGACAGACGAGGCGTTTACGGTAGACAATGGCTTATTGACTCCAACAATGAAACTATCACGTAATAAAGCTCGAAATTATTTTTCAAAAACAATAATTAGTTTATACACACAGCATGAGCTTAATTCTTCTTCAACTTAAAATTTGTGATCATTTTCAACTTACAATGTGTACATGTGAAATGGGTTCGTTTGGAGCTAATATTCTCCATAAGTGACATTCTATGGACTATTCTAATTCCTCCATCTATTCCACAAGAATTTCTTGCCTTATTTAATAAAAAAACATTATGTATTTGTTTGAATAATATTGGAAACGTATTTTACAGTGTATCATTTGTGATGTTTACTCATCTTGGCAACGCGCATGAATAAATAAATAATTCCATATTTATGACTATTGTTTTCGACATATCTTTATTTTTATGCATTAGGTTTCATGAGGGATTAGAAAATACACGTCAAACTGAAGCGATTACTAAAATCCTTGTTAAACTTAGTATCATCTGTCTTAATTAGATAAGACTTTTTCGTTGACTGATCACCCAATTTTAATAGGAATTAATTTATTGAATTTGCGACAAATCATACTTGTAACCATACCTTTTTTGTATCCAAGTTGTGTGACTGAACTTAGGCAAGTGCAAGGACAACTAACATGGAACTACCAAAAACATTCCATGAACTAGACCATGCGGTTGTTTCATTACAGTCAGTCAGTAACAACGTAGAACTTCGTACGTACGTACATCAGTTCAAGTTGCCATACCACCTTAAAACAGAGATGCAGTTGTCGATTCAAATCCCGTAGTAGTGGGGGTAATAAGAGTATAAGGAGTAATCGGAAAGATTAGGGTTCGGAGATGTTATTTAAAGAGTATAATCCAGACTACAAGGGCTGACGAGACTTCCAAGATAAGTGAAGCGGTCGACACGCACCCCATCCTTAGTTCGGGTGTCGATGCAACCCAATCCTGAAGCAACATTTTGAGTGAGAGAATCTCATCCCAAACATGCTTGCATTGTTACATAGAGTGGTCAGAAGACTGCATTTTGTCAGCGTCTTCACCAAATAAAACTATGTCATCGGCACATTCTAAGTCAACAAGTGAACCTCCCGGTAGAAGTTCAACCCTTGGAAATTTAGATGAGGAGAGTGTTATTTCTAAAAGTACGTCGACGACAAAGTTAAACAAGAATGGAGAGAGTGGGCAGTCCTGACGAACACCATTTGAGGTAATCAGTTTTGATAACAGTTCTCCATAAGTGGTTTTCTGTGTAAATTGAAATTTAATCCCTTCTCCATAAGCCCTCACTCGACCAGTAGTGTTCGAATGGAGAGCCTTTACAAGGTTAATGTACTTCTTTGGTACCCCTTTCAGTAACAAACACTGCCATAGAACCTCACGATCAACAGAGTCGAATGCTGTCTTAAGGTCGGGAAATACTACGATTGTGGGGCATCTGAACGTGTGTCTGTGTTCTAGAACCTGACGTAGTGTGAATATCTGATGTATACAACCACGTCCAGGCCGAAAACCAGCCTGGTTTTCTCTAATCTGCTCTTCACGAGCTTTAGTTGGGCGTCGAAGTATTATTGAAGCTAATATTTAAGACACTATATTAGTCAAATTGATTCCTCTGTGATCGTCACAAGAGGACATTTATCCTTTCTTAAAAACTGGCACAATCAGTGATTGAGACCAGTCAGATGGGATTACGTCCAATTCCCAAATTCACCTCAAGACCTCAGTTAATCTCGCTGCTAATACTGAATCGCCATCTTTAAAAATTTCAGGAGTAAACATGTCAGGGCCTGCTATAGTTTTAAGTTATTTGTATCTCAGTGTTCAAATAAACGGGCGTTTTGGAACATTCTTGCGTTCAATTAATTAATCAATGGTGAATATAAGAGTAGAATTTTCATTTGTGGTTTTAATTTAAATTACTTAAAACTTTAAATAAAAACCACTAATGAAAATTCTACTCTTATTATTCACCATTGATTAATTAAATGAACGCAAGAATGCTCAAAAACGCCAGTTTATTGCACGTTTATTTAAACATTGAAAAAATGATGGTTATGTTCTCTCAAAAGTGACTTACACCAAGTCACGAAACGTTGGAAATGTAATTTCCTACTTATTGAGATTTTATGAATATACTATTTCTGTTATAAGTAATTATCCAATCAAAATGTGAAACAATCCTACATTTCTCTAAATTTGCTTGGAGGGTTTCTATGCAGTGCTGATTGAATAAATCGTTTTTAGAAACTTTACCGATGGATATTTGTTGAGATTACTAACAACTAGCTAAATAAGATGAGAAATCGCTTTTCAGAAAGATTACTTACTGTATTTATCACAGTGCGTGTCAACACTAACTGAAATTTATTTTATTTTGAAGGCAGTCCTTATAATTCTGTGTTATATTGGAATCATCAGTATACTGGATTTATGCCAGGTGTGGTAATAAAAGGATTATTTTTCACCTTTCACTTGATGACGACGTTTTGTACCCCTAACTTCGTTTGTTAACGGTCCTAATTTGAAGCCATTTTAAAATTTTACCAGCTAAAATGTTCAAAGTTCATGTCTATTTTATCCTTCAGTAGCTAACTACAGAGATGAAGCTACGAATTTTCAATAACTTACGTAGTCATTGAGTTTAATTTGCTGACTACTTTCCTGTATAAGTGATTTTTTGACTGATGGTTAAGAATTTTTAAATACTTAGAATCAAATTTTCTGATATATTATAGAATTTAAACATTCATGTTGAATTATGATCTGCCTTCTGTCAGTAAGTAAGCTATAGTTCCTTGCATTATTTGGCTAATCTGAAATCATGAATAAACAGAATCTATCTAAAATTACTTGAATCATTTACTTCATTAACATAAACATGTATTTATTTATTTTATAACAGGAAGGTTCACTCAAAATTGTGGACCGTGTAAAGAGTATATTCAAATTAGCTCAAGGTGAATATATTGCACCTGAAAAAATAGAAATGGCTTATCAAACTTGCAAATTAATAAGTCAAATATTTGTGGATGGTAACAGTCAAAAAAATTACCCAGTTGCGATAGTAGTTCCAGATTTTACTGAATTGCGTTCCGCTCTAAGCAATAGTAAGGTACTGCAGCATCATAAAAAACTTTTGGATTCTGAACTTTGTCGAAATGAAACTGTCAATAAATTCGTTTTGGAGAAAATGAATGGTGTGGCGACACTAAAACTGTTGAAGGGTTTTGAAAAGGTTTGTGACGAATGATTTAAAAATTGTAATCGTAATTTAAATACTCAATCCTGTTCTTATTTATGTATGTTTCGTACCGATCGACAAACAAACAAACAAATTAGTATTTATGATATATAACTGACCTCGGGTTAAATCACAACTAAGCATATTAGTCAATGAAATTGTGAATTTTCATTAGTCGATGTAACTCACTCATGTGAATTTACCTCGCATCAAAATGGGTATTACTGACCTTATTAAGTAATTAAATAGAGTTGACACAATGTTGATTTGTAGAATTAACAATCAACGGAACTAACTGTACCTGAAATTATGAACTTCCTTCTTTGGTCATATAAATGTTAGAAAGTCATAGCTGTCAGTACTCCTCAACCATAGTTTTAATGATGTTTTTGTCACTTTGAATTTTTGTATTATAATACATTTAAACTTGAAGAAATATATGCTATCCGGTGCTCGGTAACGTTATACAATTTATTAATGACTTTATATTGGGTTCTTATATGGTTTCGCTAATTAATTGAAGTTAGAAATGTAAACCTATAGATGCCAACTCAGAAATTACTGTAATTTATGAGTTCGATCTCATTACTCTACTATGTTGGATTTATGGGTAACTATGATATAGGTACTACTCTTATAATAGACCTAATCCCAAAGTTGTAAATTTCTCATGATATAACTGCCTAATCTATAAAATCTTACGTGGAAGTCACATCGTCGTCTACACCATCTCATTGCATCATAACAATCGTCAGTACATGATGAAGAACACACTTAGGCTAGAAATAGATCAATGTATGTGATATGGGTAAAAAGTATATAACAACATCCAAGGATAGCCACGCCTACAAGGCCGAGCCATGCCATGAGGTCGATTCGAATCCTTTCCATTCATTCTTCCCGCCTTCCCCATCGTTGGGTATTTCTCCGCAGTGGGATACTAAATATCTAGTTTACCAGTTGTCTAGTGTTCAGCTTTAATGATTGTGTGGTTATGACCCAATGCCTCTACATTTTGTTGATATTGTACATGGTATTGTTTTTTAAGATTCTACCTCTTCTATGCTGTTACCAAAGAGGCCACAATACCTGAGTTTCACTATAGTGTAATTCGAACAAGGTATCAACCAATACGTGTGAGTTGAACATAGGCTAGGATGTTAGGTCGTTCTCACTCAACTATATCAGACCGACCACCAACAAGTGATCTACAGGTCTTCATGGAGAGTCAGGACGCGATCAAGGCCGAGGGTTAACCTTAAGGTCACCAGCACACAACATGGAGCATCAATCAAAGAAAGTGAATGCGATGCTGAAGGTTTGTGGTCTTGATAATCAGTGAACTAGATGATCAACACTTTCGAGTACCCTGAGGCATATGTGTGTATAATTGGTGTTCATTTACTAAAGTTCAGTTACTCTTTGTCGTCAATGGGCTTGTGTCACATAAAATAACCGAAAGCGAACAGTGTTACGAGTCGGAAAGTAACGATTGCTGAGCATATATTTATATAGGGATTCGCTTGAGATTCACCTCATGATCTACGTAACTACATGGAGCATGGAAATCGGTCTCCAATTACAAATTATGTCTTCTTATCCCTTCATACATTGCCATGATCACTCTGTACTTCCAGGCAGAAGTCAGCTTAACACTGAATACAGACCACTTGTAGAGATTAGCGAGCGGGAGATAAAGTAGATCTACACATTCTTTCGTTACTCTGAGTTGGCTTCCCCCGATACAGCAGACGTATGTGGTTCGATGTGTAAGGCTCAAACCTCACGATATTTAGATAAAAAATGGAGAAGATTGGACGGGACCCATTGAACAGAGATATTGTAGCGGCATCGGTTCCTAATCACACGATCTTTAAAGCCAAGCATATAATTACTGAAAACGCCTGCATTCAACATGCAACGACGAGGAACGTGAGAACAACTGATCGGTAGGGAACAGATCAGGCTTGCAGGCGTGGTCATCCTTGTGTCAGGTCCCTATTCACATTAGGATATATTCTATCCCAAGCCCAAACGTGTTCGTCAGAAGTACTAGACATTGTGTTGCTGATTGCCACGACACAATGATGTGACTTCCAAGTAAGATCTTGTAGATTAGGTAG